GGCTCCCCCGCTCTCCCCCCCCAGGCCGAGCCCTGAACCCGGCTCCCCCGCTCCTCCCCCCCCAGGCCGAGCACTGAACCCGGCTCCTCTGCTCCCCAGAACCCCCCTCCTTCCCCGTGAGGCCCATCTGCTCCCCCACCTGCATGAGGACGAACTTGTCCGTGTTGGAGAAAAGCACCACGGTGTTCTGCATGGTGTCATCCTCCTCCTCGTCATCCTCCTTGCTGGGGGAGCTGTCGATATCTGCTAGCTGGGGGAGCGGGCGAGACAGGGCGAACACGTCACCGACGGAGCAGGCACGGACCCCCACACCAAGCCGGTCACCCCAGGGCAATGCTCAGTGCCAATCCGGCCAGCTGAGCCAGAGATGGAAGCACCAGGTTCCCCCCGCAAGGCTGGGGAGGGGCCTGGCTTAGACACTGGGGGAGAAGGATGTGACGCAGCACCCCGCAGCCCACGAGGGGAAAGCCCCTGTCCTCCCTCTCTCCCCACCCTAGAGCTCATCAAACCCAGAGCCCCCTGGAGGCATGTCCCCCCCCAAGCCAGCCAGTCTTCCCGGCCTGGGATCTGAGCCGGCACCCCCTAGAGGGGAGAGGGCCCCCCATACCCACCAATCCCACCAACTGCCCAATGGAGAGATGCTACCAATTCTGGTTTGAGCCACTGGGGGTTGGGGGGTCAGAGCCCATCAGTACAAGGCTCCTAGGGGTCACTCACCAACCCCAATGCTCCAGATACCGGTAGTGGCCTGGGCCCCCCACAGATCCCACCCTGGGGGGCGAGGGGACCCACAGCAGCCGCTTCCAAGGGCCGGGGGGAGGCAACGCAGGGACGCAGAACACCCCCCCCAGCCCAGCCTTACCGCGAGGGTCTCAATGGACGAGGTGGTCGACTTCAGCCGAGCTCGGCCCCGGCCCCGGCCCCCCTGGGTCCCGCCTCGGGGGCGCCTCCTCCCCGGGAAGCTGCTGCTGCGACCCTAGGGCCGAGGAGGGGGGGGGTTACAGCAACACCCAGGCTTCCCAGAGCCAGGGGACCTGCTCCAGCCGGAACGGCCCCCTGCCCACTCCAGGGGCACCAGGAGATGGCACAGCCCCCGGGACTCGTGGGCGGGCCAGGACCCAAAGGGGCTACCCCTCTTTCCCCTTGTCTCCACCCGGCACCTCAGCAAAACGGCCAGCAGGGGATGGCACTGACAGCT